GCAGATCTCAGCTGTCCCCCTTAACCACAGTTCTGCTCTCTTCATCTCTCCTTGCCCTGTAGGACGAGTTGAAGAAGCTGTATGCCCAGCTAGAGGTCCGTAAGACCAAGGAAATGGCCGCTAATAATCCTCACCTGCCTAAGAAGCGGGGCAGCTCACGCCAAGGGCTGGGCCGCTCCTTCATGAGGTACCTGGCTGAGTTCCCCGAGTCCCTGACCCGGCAGCACTCTCGGGACTCGGGCTCCCCAGGCCGCAGCAGCCTGCCTGGCTCCTCTCGCCGCCGGCTCCTCAGCTCCAGCATCCAGGAAGCAGAAGGGGCCCCAGCCCTGCACAAATCCTGCAGCACCTATGACCAGGGGGAGCAAGACTCACCGCTCCTGAACTCCCTACTGAGAAGGAATCTGTCCAAGAAAGCTTCTCATGTGGAAAGCCAAGAGTCTGTGGATGGGCCCCCTGCTTTGGGTTTCAGGTCAGCCAGCGCTCACAACTTAACAGTGGGAGAGAGACTCCCCAGAGCCCGGCCTATGTCTCTGCAGAAGTCACTCAGTGTGGTGACGGGCTCCAGGGAAAAGGCCCTGCTGGTGGCCAGCCAGGCCTACCTGGAGGAGTCCTATCGGCAGGCGAAGGAGAGAGAGGAACGAAAGAAGGCTGAGTTGACCATTGCAAGCCCAGTGCGGAGGCCATCAGCTAGGAGGCTGGAGCGGGCTCCTGGGGCCCCCCTGTCAGCCCCACCTTCTCCTGCCAAGAGCAGCAGTATAGACAGCTCGCATATGTCTGGGAGGTTTCGTGAGGAAGCTGGGAGAAAGCTACCTCACCCACCTATCAGGCACCAGGTCTCCACACCCATCTTGGCTCTGTCTGGAGCCTGTCTTGGAGAGCCAAGGATGCTTTCTCCCACCTCGACCCTGGCTCCAGCTCTGATGCCAGCTCTGGCCCCAACTCCAACCCCTGTCCTTGCTCCTGTCCCAGTTCTGGCCCCCACCCCTACCCCTGTCCTTGCTCCTGTCCCAGTGGTCCCACAAAGCCCCAGCTTGCTCACCTACATCTGTCCCTGGGAGAATGCAGAACTGCCAGTCAAGAAAGAAAATGTGGCCCAGGAAAATCCCCCAGGGTCAGAGCGAGGTGGCCACTCGTCTGCTCCAGCTCGAGCCAAGCTCTGGAGGGCCCTGTCTGTTGCAGTAGATAAAAAGGGTGCTGGGGAGAATGAGATTGACACAGAGGATGGGCGTTTCCAGGGGGAAGCTGACGTGGAGGAAGACAGGCCCAAGATCTCTAAATCCCATAGCCTCAAGACCCCTGTGCAGCAGGGTTCCATGCGCAGCCTGGGCCTGGCTATCAAAGCTCTGACCCGTTCTCGGAGCACATACCGAGAGAAAGAAGGTGGGGAGGGCAGTCCTGAGAAGAAGGACAGGCCTACGGGAGCAGGCATGGGGGTTTCTCTCCGATCTCCCCGCTTAGGCCGGCCCAAGGGAGTGAGCAAACAGGCTGCACTTGCCCCGTGCGATGATGAGGAGTCCCTCCAGAACCAACAGAACGTTCACACCAGCAGAATGCTGCAAGTCTGTCACCAGGAGGGCAGCAGAGAACAAGAGGACAGAGGCAGGACAGCCCAGGGCCTAGGGGAGCAGAAGGTGGAGAGAGCAAGTAAAACAGGACTTGCCACACTGAAGCAAATTTGGGGGGACAAACATGCTGAACAAACAAAGGAAGCCATTGTGGGATGCCAAGAGCTACCCAAAGCTGGCCTCCAGTCCCTGGGCAGTGCTGATGGCAAGGTGGCAGAGGTATGCCCCTGGGAAGTCACTGAGTCAGAAACATGCCAGCCAGATAGTAATGACAAAACTAAAATCTGCCCCTGGGAGGAGGGTGAAGGAGGCCCTGAGAGGAAGGCATCAAGACAAGATCTAGGTGACTCCCAAGACAAGATGGGGAAGGCTCCAGAAAAATCAGAGCCCAGAGGAGTGGTTGTCATTGCTCGGAAAAAGCCAGAGAGGCTGGTCAGGGGCCAGGAGGCAGTGTGTCCCTGGGAGAGTGCTGACCCTGGAGGTGCCTCCCATCCATCAGCTCCTCAGGACTCTGACAGGATGCAGGGCAGGTCTGGGGAAGTAGGCAGTGTGGAGACAAGAGCAGAGAAACATCAGGGAGAAGCCCCAGGTCCAGGGGCTTGTTCACCTAACACTACCAAGGCAGAGCTGTGTCCCCCAGAGGTGAGGGATGGGCAGGGAGGGACACTAACCCAGAGAGTAAAGGAGCTCCCCCAGGAAAGGCAGAAAGCCCCCAAGAAAGCAACCTTCTGGAGTGAGCAGAAACTGGCTGGGAACTTGGAGTCTCTCTGTCCATGGGAGAGTACAGATTTTCGGGGGCCCATGGCAGTGTCACTTCCGGCCTCTGGAAGCCCAGGGCAGTCGGGAAGTTGGGGCAGTGGCATTGTGGAAGTGTGTCCGTGGGAAGCAGGAGAGATGCCTGCTAACAGGAAAGCAGAGGTCTGTCCCTGGGATACAGGTGATGAGCGAAGAGAGGAGGAAACACTGAATCCAGGGGCAAGTGGAGAATGTCTTCTTCATAAAGATAACACTTCCAGGAAGGGGATCTTAGGAGAGGTGGAGGAGAAAATTGTGGAAGTAGTACCAACAGGAAATCAACAGCAGGAGTCAGTGCTCAAGCCAGAGAAAAAGGAAGCAACACCTGCCACAGCAGAAATCGGTCCCTGGGAGGTAGAGGATGCGACAGAGAACTGGACATTGAGACAGACACCAAAAGGAGGAGTCTCTCCAATGGACAAGGAGAAAATGCCTGGAAAAACAGGAATTGAAGATGTAACAGCATGGAAAAAGTCTGAGGAACAGAACCAAAAGCAGCAAACAGTCTGCCCCTGGGAGAGTGTGGCTTCTGGCAGCTTTCCTACACAAGACACAGAGAGGCCAGGCAGCATGGGAAGCAAAGCCACTGAGATCTGCCCATGGGATATAGAGGATACCTGGACAGCTGAGAAAGCAAAGATCTGTCCCTGGGAGGTGGATGCTGGAGTAGCAGAGGAAAAGACTTTGGGAGATGAGGCTATTAGGAAATCTCCAAATGACACACAAGAAACAGATTCTGGACCCAGTCAGACAGCAGTTCCTGCTCCAAAGAAGCCAGAGAGACCAGCTCTGAAGCAGGAAGTGGTCTGTTCCGGGGAGAGCTTGAGTCCTGGGGGCTTCTCTCAGCATCCAGATACTCCTCACACGGATAGACCAAAACCTGAGCTGCAGGAACTGGCACATGTGAGCTGCAAGCCAGTGGACGTGTGTCCCTGGGAAGTGGAGGAAGCTCCCACCAGTGAAAAAGTCAAGATCTGCCCCTGGGAGACAAATGAAGGAGCTACAAAGAAAGAACTAGAGCAAGAGATGAATGATAAAATGCTAGAGAACAGGGAGCTCACATCCCAGGGAGGAGGTATATCAAAACAGGAGGCAAAACTCCAAGCGCAGAAAGCTATTTGTCCTTGGGAGGACACAGATTTGAGCGAGCCATCTGCTCAGACCCCTAAGGGCTCAGTCTTGCCCAGTAGCACTGGCAACCAATTGGGAGAGGGACATTCCTCAAAAGTGAGTGACAAAGTAACAGAGAAGAGGGATCTGAGACAAGACCCAAAGACAGGCTCCCTCCCAGAGCACGTGACTCCAGGAAAAGCTCCAGCTTTGACGGCAGAAGTTGTTACTCAAGATGGGGGAAAGACAAGCAACAATGAGCTTCAATCTGTCTGTCCATGGGAGAGTATGGTAACAGCGGGATCTTCCTCCCAGCCAGCCAGTCAGTGCCCTGACCAGCCTACAGTCAGTACCCAGAACCTGGTCACTACTGGGAGCGGGGTTGCTGAGGTGTGTCCATGGGATGTTCCTGTCCTAGATACATATAAACCTAACAGTAGCACCAAGGCTGAGATCTGTCCCTGGGAGGTGACTGAGCAAATATCTGAGAAAAGAGCCTCGAAACAAGATAGAAAGGAGGAAGTGCAAGAGACGGAAAAAGCCCTGGAAAAGCCTGAGCGCAAAGGTGTGGCAGTTCAGAAAATGACAGAGATGGCCCACCCCGGGAAGCAGGAGGCTGTGTGTTCTGGGGAGAGTCAAGACCAGGGGAGTCTGTCAAGTACTTCTAGTAGAAGCAAAGGCAGTTCTGAGACTGCAGGCTGCATGGGGGCTAGCATGGCCGAAGTATGTCCGTGGGAAGCAGAAGAAGTTCCCTCTGCCAGGAAAGCAGACATCTGCCCTTGGGAGGTAAATACAGGAGCAGCAGAAGGAGAAAGAGAAGAAGGAGAAGGAGAAGGGGGACCGAGACAGGACAGAGGATCACAAGGGCAAGGAGAGGAAGGATCCAGAGGGGCTGAATGCTCCCCCAAAGCAGCAGCAAAACTTAGCAGTGAGTCAGTGACAGTGTGCTCCCGGGAAAGCACAGGATCAGGCATCCAGCAAGAGGCTCTGGACACTGACAACGAAGCCAAGGTCAGCCCTGATGGAGCAAGCAGCATGAGGAGAATAGCAGAGCTGTGTCAATGGGAAGTCACAGACCCAGAAGGAAATAAAATAAAGGGCACCATGGCAGACATCTGTCCTTGGGAAGTAACTAGAGCCCCATCAGAGGAATCTGGCTTCCTGGCTTTAACAGCAACTGCAACAGAGAATGTCTGTCCATCCTCTGAACAATCATTATGCCTTTTAGTTCACCGACCTCTGGATAGCTTCTTTCCAGACTTCAAGAGCTCTCACCCTGAGGCAAGCGAGCCATGGAGTACCTTTACTCCAGAAGGTGTCATTGAACTACAAGGACCTTCAGGGCGTGGGTCAAGGACCAACTTAGCCCCAAATTCAAGTCTCCAAGAAGCTGAGGGTCAGAAGTCTTCCCACTTAACCGAAGATCAAGGACAAGTAGCTTCTCAAGCTCAAGATGAAGAACTTGGTCCTCCGCCCACCTACCCTTGGGACTGAGAGCAATAACTCTATCATATGAGGTCAAACACAGAGCTAACTGAAGCCATGTTCTAGTGTTCCCAAATCAAGACACGTGGCAAACTATGCAAGAAGGGAAAAGCATGGATTCCAAGGGAAGTCCCACCTTCTCTTTATTTGTTTTTCTTCTGGCCTGCAGAAACAAATCCTAGACCTCCTGCTTCTAAAGAATCTTCCCACTTATCAAGAGTACTTGACACAAGGGCTCAGGATATGGCTCAAGTGGTAGAGGACATATCTAGACAGCATGAGGCCATGAGTTCAAACGCCAGCACTACCAAAACCAAAACAACACACAGAAATACAAGAAACCACGTAACAGAAAACAACACAACTCTTGACTCAACTCTTCTCTGAAGTCTATCAAAGAACTACTTTTTTTTTTCTGGTGCCGATACTGGGGCTTGAACTCAGGGCCTAGCACTGTCCCTGAGCTTTGAGCCATTTCCAGCTTTTTGGTAGTTAATTGGAGATAAGGGTCTCACAGACTTTCCTAACCAGGCTGGCTTTGAACCATGGTCCTTAAATCTCAGCCTCCTGAGTAACTAGGATTATGGGCATGAGCTACCTATATCTAGCAAAACTACTTGTTAAGAAGAAACTAAACTAGACTAGAGGCTATAAGGTTACTATATGAAGCTAGCCATGTAATTCAAATGTAAAAGTAGAGAGAAAACTAAAAAGACTCAAAATAGATGTCCGCAAAACCTTTCAGGACCTTAACTTTTTGACTGAACCTCCCATTTCAGCTTTATTGCTCCTCATATCTGCCCTGCTTGCCTGATGAAGTAGAGATAACTGGATACTTTGACATCACGATTGCATCTGGAATCCAAAGTGACATTAGAGACAGAGAAGGAAAAGCAATTTCTTCAGGTCCTCCCCCACGCTGGGCAAAGAAGAGCTCTTCCTTCCAGGTGTCCTCAGTATGCCTCTTGCTAGCTTTTTAATGCAATCTCCCTCTCTTCCCACCCCAGCTCTGACCAGTCTCCAGAGCTGATCTTTCTTGTTCATTCTCTTCCTCCTAGCCTTTCAGTGCTGTCAGCAACAGGACCCCTCTTTTACCAATGCAATAGCCCAGGGGAATCTCTTGCAAGAGCCACTCCAACGTTCTTGCTTGGTAACAAGAGTCCACATAAGTCTCCTTCCCAGAGGCGTCAGAGAAAGGAGATCCTGTTTATAGTCAGCAGTCCAACTACTGCTGCCTTAAGAAAGAGTAACACTCTGGGCAGGTTAGAAGCCAGAAGGCTGGAAAGGCCTAGTATAAATACAAAGCCTTCTTTCTTAGGGAGCTTTCTTAGTTTGGCTCTCTTTTCAACCATCAGTTCAGTCTACTCTGCTTAAGCAGTGCTAGATAGCAGAATGCTGAGATCAGATGACCCCAGAGAGAAATGAGGAAGGAATAAAGCATACAAAGAAGTCCTAGGGTTTGGGAGAGTTGAAGTGTGGGGTGAAAACAGGCAAGCTAATGTGGCAGAGCTGAGAGGGGCAGTAGAAATAGCTCACTATGGGTATGGATGTCATTAATGGAGAGAAGGAAAAAAAAGCCTAAATATCCAGTAAGCAAACAGAGTTTGCAATGTGAATACTCTGTGCCCCATTTCCAAAAAGGCGAAGAGGAATGGAGTAAACTACTCTCTTTTGAGGGCCAGATGTCCTCATTCCCACGCTGAACATTCCAGCTTACCTTTAGGCTTTTTAGCACCAACTGAAATATATTGTTCAAGGCTCTGACTACTTAACCCCATAGCTTCTGAGTCTAACTGTACTAACTGTGCACCCTGGGAAAATCCCACTGGATTGGTCTATCTGAAAAGAGCAAAGTTGCCCCTCCATTCCCTGCTGTGCAATAAGCCATGAGGGGAAAGAATAAAAGAATGCTTTATTTTTTTTTCCTTCTCAATCTTTGCCTTTGGCTCTAGTTTATTCATAATGATGATTTTCTTTTTCAACACAGGAGCAGCAAATAGATAAGAGAGAACAGCGCCTGCTCGAAAGCTCAGGATAATCCCACTGCATGCAGCCTTAGGACTCCAGGTAGTCTGGCTAATTCTCTGCCCAGAACTGTAGTTGACATTGCAGATGCCTTCTGCCAACCCTTCACATCTGGGACCATTTGATCCCATGGGGAAATGAAAATTGCACTTATCTCCTGGTTCCCTGGCGGCCACTGCTTAGCTGCTATTTAGGATTATCTAGAGACCCCTGAGATAGATCCAGGGGAATGGGATGAAATAGCTTATTTGAAGCAGTTTTAATGCATTCAAGAGAAATCAATGAAATGTTTGCCCACTAAGTGTGCTCTTTTTATTTGCCTCCCTCACCCTGTGAGCATAACCTCCCCCGACCCCTCCACACTGGCTGTGGATGCTGCTCAAAGCACTACTCATTTTACCTTAATCCATAGCTCAGGCAAATAGGATCTGACTGACCAAACTTCACTTGGGTTTTAGTGCTATAAACTGATGTACATTTTAAGCCAAGAGGGTTAAGACTAAGTGTCATGATGAGAGTAGTTGAACTAGCCCACCAGTGCTGTCACTTTTTTTTTTTTTTTTTGGTAATAGTACCAGGGTATTTTTGCTCACTGGTAGAATTCTACCACTTGAGCTATGCCTCCAGTACATTTTTGCTGGTTAATTGGAAACTTTTCTGGCTGGATTTGAACTGCCATTCTCAAGTCTTAGCTTGAGGACCTAGAATTACACACACGAACCACCACCTGACTGGTGCTGTCACTTCTGTAGCATAAACATATGTCTCTATTTCCATAATTCATACTCAATAGATGTTACAAGAGCACTTTTTTTTTGTCAGTCAGGGGGCTTGAACTCAGGGTCAGGATGCTGTACAAGCTTTTTTGTTCAAGGCTGGCACTCTATCACTTTAAGCCACAGCTCCACTTCCAGTTTTCTGGTTCATTGGAGATAGGAGTCTCACATACTTTCTTGTCCAGGCTGGCTTTGAACCATGATCTCAGATCTCAGCCTCTTGAGTAGCCAGGATTACAGGCGTGAGCCACCAACTCCCTGCTAAAGCACCCATTTTCTCTAGTCAGTTCTCATCTATTCGCTGCTTTACTGAAATCTTAGCTTCAGAGAGAATAAAGGCATAGGTTACTTATTCTTGACCTGATTCAAGGTTCTTTGCACTCTACTCTCAAGACAATGTCAGAAAAGATTATTCCTCATTTTAAATGATACCTTAAAAGAAATGTTCTTAAAATTCCTTATACATGGGGCTGGGAAGTTGGCTCAGTGGTAGAGCGCTTGCCTTGCATGCCTGAGGGCCTGAGTTCAATTCCTCAGCACCACATAAGCAAAAAGAAAAAAGCCGGAAGTGGCGCTGTGGCTCAAGTGGTAGAGCGCTCGCCTTGAGCTGAAGAGCTGAGGG